AATTTGGAGATCCCTTTACTTCTCTTACATGGTTATATTCAATTATTTATTTATAATTTTTCCCACAAGTCTTTTTATTTCCATGTGTTGTTTTTACATTTCTTTATCTCCTGATTTTACTTAATGCCTTTCTGCCTCATTATGTAAATAAGGTGGGCGGAGCTTCTTGAGTCAACTACTCTCCTATTGGTGAACAAACAGGAAGCAGCAGAAACCATGAGCAGTGCTGCTTCAATTGAGCTTAAAGTTTAAAGTTTAGTTTAAAACAAAGGCACATGTAAGTGTTTTCCACCTTGCCTTTGTTTTAAACTACATTAAATAAATGTATTTATTTATTGGTCCGTTCATATATTTCTGCTTTTATTTGTAATTATGTCAGTTTCAGTCCTCTATAAGCGGGTGACTTCCATCCGGCCTGTTAACTTTAAATTTATTACTCAATAAAACAAAATAAACTCATTGAAAAGGTGATACTTGTTGGGCCCCTCTTATTGCCTTTGAGTAACAACAACCTCCTGAGCAATTTAGTTATCCCCGTATGAAYGTCTCAAAATAAGCTGCTTTAAAGCCAGCATTGACYATAAACTACATCTCCCATAAAGCATGTTGATTTTTTTTTCTCACAAGATGACGGCATCCCACCACCAGGTGGAGCTGCACAGAGTTYRAAAGTAGCCAGCAGATGGCAAAGTTCACTATAAAGTCTCCATTTTGCTGCATTTTTGGTGGCTAACTTTGCTAGGACCCAGTTGKACAAGGAAGTGGGAATTTCCCAYATAAAAGTCGTAAATTGAATCTGTAAACGTAGTACTTTTTAGTCTTTATAAAAGACATGTTAAAACRCTGTTTCTCTGCAGGAAACACCAGGTAGAGCTCAGTTAGTGTTTGTTAGCGGTGCTCAGCCATAGTGATGAGCTGAARTTAAACACAAAACGCTCCTGCAGACTCTGGGAAAATTGAGTTTGACACCCATAACGTCGGAGATCTGTAACTTTTCTCTTTACTTTTTGGTCACTTGCAGATAAAAATGAAGAGTTAGAAGCTTGAAGTTCAGGTTCAAATAAAGAAAAAAAAAACATGATTAGATTTTATTTGTTACACAAACACACACCTCTGAGTGGTTTGTGTCACGGCTCTCTTGTTGTGATGTTAACGTTCATCTGAAACTGTCACAAAACTATTTACTTGTGACATTTTCTTATGACTTTAGTTTTGGACACGTGTGAAAAGTAATAAAGTTTCCATTTTCACTCAGACGCAGGTTCAGCGCTGCATGCAGAGCAGCGATATTTGTTTTTTGGTTTTTTTTTTATTATTGATGTGACCACTTTGTTTTCGGCTGTTAAATGAGCCGAAGCTGCGGTGCGCGCTGGTTGTTTATTAACGCTGGTTGTGTAGGTCCTACCAGCGGGCTGTGATGAACATTTCCACCTTCAGCAGAACATCGATCATCTGAACCAAGCGGCTCCTTGTTTCTGCACAAACTGCAGTAAAAACTGGAAAGTGTTTCCGTCTCTCTTCTCGGTGACTCGACCTCCGCCCGGTTTCTSCGAACAGAAGCCTGTCACGGTTCCTGTGATTAGCAGCTCACTTCCTGTTTTTACCTGCTCGTGCCTGAATGCAGGTGATTACTGTTTGTTCTGTTATCACCTGTGTTTCTGCCTCCAGTTTGGGTTTGACAGAAGCTTTGAACAGATTATTTGACAGCTGCTGTGAAGTGGTTTTACTGAGCTCATGGAAAGATCAATAAAATGTGTTTTTCAAGAATTCTCTGTTTATTCAATAAGAATAAAAAAAGATTAAAATGTTAACACTAGCGCTCCTAACCTGTAAATTATTCAAACTGTCTTTTATCTGTTAGGATTAAATGAGAAAAGTACAAATCCTTTTATTTGCGTAGCTGAATGTGTTAAATATTTCACTTTTATTTGTGGAAAATTGCTTAAATTCAAATTACCACCTTTAAACCATCAGCAGTTTAAACCCTCGAGTGTCCTGATGCATCTCAGTAATCCAGGTAAAAAATCTAAAAGAAAATAAATAGTATAGGTCTTCTGGACGGGTTCTTCTCTAATGAAACGTTTCGTCTCTCCTCCAAGAGACTTCTTCAGTCTGAGAGTTTCAGGCTAAATTCTGTGTGGGTGGGCTTACGATACACGCCAGTTTCCAACCGTCCTCCATCCGAAACCGAGACATCGCAATCCAGGAA